TGTGGTCCTCAGCCGATGTTTCAAGACCACTTTCTCCATCGAGATGTACTCTTCGTGAGGGTTGACCAACGTCATCAATGTCGTTGAAATCATTGAATCCGATTTGAGAATGTGTCAATAGGTCATGGATCTTCGATGCATGATGACATTCATGAGGAGTGCATTCGTATGTCCCAAGATCAACGTAGGGGATGTTGTCATGGATTGTCAAATCGATGCGTTCTCCATTCTTCGTAATCATGAAAGGCATTTGACCAGATGGCCATACAAAGGAGTATCCTTCTTCCATGCATCGTTTCCCAAGAGACATCACAGACGGAGTGTCGTCCAATACATAAGCATGAGATGTCACGTCAAAAGTTCCCAGGTCAATCTCCGCTTCCGTCTGAGTAGCAGTTGAACCGTTGGCGGTGTGGAACATGATAGGATCACAAGTTCGTTGCTTCAGGCTCATCCTTTCGGCTTTCCTTGCAGAAATCAGGTCATGCCCGCTGCCAGAATCCAGGATGAATCTACGATCTTTGGCTTGTACTGGTAAAGAAATGCACATCGAGTTCTTTGACTTCATGAGAGATTTTCCAACTTCGTGTTCAACAAGCTCTTCAACAAAAGTCATGTCATCACGATCATCATCCAGCTTGATCAACATGTCGAACTTGGGGCCAATGATGATTCTGACTTCATCAACAAAACGATGGAGTCCACATCTGTCCATGATGATAGCTTTGGCCCGTGCTCGGATTGAACCGAGGGTGTTGTCGGATTTGGATTGATCGTCGGTCAAATCATCGGCTTTCCAGAAGATATACGGCTTGTTGGGGTCACGATACATACGCTTGGGCAATCCCTCCTGGTAGTTCTCAATGGCAATCTCGTGCACTTCAGGTTCCAGTTCAAAAGAGATCCTGCGATCATCAGAAGACTTCTTTGCGCTGGCTATCCTCGGTGAGGTATAATCCATAGAATCTTCATTGTCGCTATCAAAGAAGGAGTCAATGGTAATGGGAGTTGCTTTCTTCTTTGGTGTCTTCTTGCTGGTTCTTTCTGAAGATGCTGAAGGCGATTGATCTGCATGTAAGAATTTACATTTGCTTCCGAACGTGCATGTACCCTTTTGCCAATTCCAACATATCTTCTTCTTGGGTCCAGCTGAAGATGAACTTCCTCTACTTTTCCCTCTTGATGAATCTCGACTTCCGCTTCTGTCTTTCTTACCTTTCATCTTGGCATCATAGACCTTCTGAGAATGACTGTAAAGACATTTGTCACCTTTGTTGCATCCTCCTTTATTGAAGAAGTAGTTACAGAAAATCTTCTTCTTATCAACGGGTGAAGATGATCTTCCCTTCCCACCTTTGCCTTTCTTGTTGTTCTTGTCGGCATGGGATTTCGGAGAAGGTGTTGGAAGTACCGATGCAGCTTCACTCTTCGCCTTTGCTTTAGGTCGTTTGGGAGGATCACCTGTAGACGATGCAGCCGCTTCATTCTCCTTCTTGGTCTTAATGGGAGCAGCAGGCTTGTCAGCATCTTCCAGAGCAGGTGTTGTCTTGTTAGAGGACAATGACAGTTTCACTGCACGTTCTCTATCTTTCAACAGTCGTTCTTGTTTTCCTCTTGCTATGTATCCCTTGATCATACCAGTTAGGTAAACATAGGTCTTCTCAGGATGCCCTTCATCAAAGGTTTTGTATCGGTTGATATCAAAGGCCATAAGCTTTGAGTGTTCAATCTTCCGGAACAATGTGTCACGCAGGGAATTGTTGGAAGGCAGATCATCATGTTTCATATTGTATACAATGTCAAGCCACTTGTTGTAGAAGGCCTCAAGCTGGTCATCTCCATAGTAGTTGAACATATACAAGTGATGGGCGTTGTAGAGAACTTCAGTGTGGTCAGGTGACTTGAAGCTAATCAGTATCATTGCGAATAGTTCTCGTCCCTTGATGAAGTCCCCACTTCTCCCATACAATTGGTTCTTCATGGACATGTCATACTTCACTTGCATGGACTTGTCCCCAGCATTGTCAATGACTTTCCTCAAGGCGTTGGAGAGCTTGGCATCAATGGATTGGAATCTCACATCAGGTGCTTTGGCCAGAGCCTCCAAGTCAGGTTGATCTACAAGACACGGAGCTAGCCACGCTTTCCAATCTTCATAGTTTCGATCTCCACTTGCAACACAAACTTCATGAACAACACTTCCCTTCCAGGATGAAAGTTCAGTGGTCTTAGGCCAGGGTTGGAGGCTGATCTTTTCGGCTTCTCTTAGAGATACGGATGACTTGGATCTATCCCTCTCAAGGTTCTCCAATTCCTTGACATTGGTGTTGTACTCGTTCCTGAGCTTCTCGAAGGCTTCAGCTTCTGCTCGGTATTCCTGCACTTCATCATTGGCACGATCTTCAGCTTGAGAGAAATTGTTCTTGTAATAATCTTTCCGATCTTCCATCTTCTTCAACTCATCTTGAAGATTTCGAACTTCAACGTTCTTCTCTTGCTTCATCTCGTCCAACTCTGCTTTCAGTTTGGCACACTTCTCTTCACATTCATTCCGAGGCATAGCACTACTGGGGTACCCATGTAATGTAGTCGATCTAATCAATGATGAAGAAGAATGGGCCTGGTTTTCCAACTTCAGGGCAGCGATGGTGCTTGACATCTCTTCTACCTCAGCGAAACGCTCATTAGCCAATTGATGCATCTCGGTCAAGTGGCTTTCGGGAATGGAATAGTCAGTCGCACCTTTGATCACGAGTCTTCTGTCGTTCAGCATCTTGATGGACTTACCTGCATCCCTGTGAGCACGCTCAAGAGAGTCCTTTTGGGCTTCAAGTTCAGTATGAAGGCGAGCAATGGCTGTGTCCCTGTCATTGATTTCATTGTGCAAATTGTCGAACAAGTTACTCGTCACATTCGGATTGTTACTCATGTGATCGATCTTGTTCAGAGCATCTTGATACTTCTTACCAGTTTCATCGAAATGTTGCTGGAAGGTTTTGAGCAGGTTCTCAGTGTCGATGAGTTCAGTTCTGTTTTGCAAGTACAACTTGTCAACTTCAGCCTTGGATTCCTTCAAGCTGTCACGCTCACGCACGGCTTGCATATACATCTCGTATAGAGGTCCTCCATGCGGTGATCTGCTTGGTGAAGATCTTCTGGCTTGTTGACAGGAAAGTTCATGATACTGATTCTTCGATTCAGTCAGTTGTTGTTGCATTCGATCTAAAGACTTTGTTTCATGTGTAGTTCAGAACGTAGTCCCATTATCCTCATGTCCCGCATGCCACTCGATTCAGCTAGAGATTCTTCAGAAACCTTGTTCTCAGAAATCGCTAGTCGAGATTGTAAGCTTTCATTGTGGATCACCTGCAATCGAAGTTGCGATTCTTCCAAAGCTAAGTGATGTTCACATTCTGCATAGCGGTCATGTTCAGATCTTATGTTACTACGGAACTCCTTCATGATCTCATCCCTCTTCATGTCAGCAGCATCGAGCTCAGTTTCCAGTCGTCTAACGTTCATGGCCATGGTGTGCTTCATTGTCTGGTTTTGATTGGCAACCTCGAGCATCTCGATCTGTAAAGCACAGGTCTGGTCGTTAGCATAGCCGACCGCTAGAGCTTCTTGCTTGGCATTCATCTCTGCGTTTTCCAGTTCCAGTCTGAGTTGATTGATGTGAGCATTCGCATCAGCGCCCACATGCACCATAATTGCGTTCGCTTGTCCCATTTGTTCATCAAATTCCGAACGTAGTCGTGAATATTTAAATTCCAAATGAGATGCAGCTTCATTCGACATAGTCTGATACCTCTCCAACTCTTCGATCCTGTAGGTTGCACCTTCATCTTCTTGTTGTGCAGCCTGTAACTCGAAGTTCAGCATCTGGAGTTGTTCGGTCATCGACACCATCTCTTGATGAGTGGTGCTTTCCAGGAAATTAAATTGTTGATAGGCATATGCTGTCGTCTCAGTTAATCTTGCCTGAAGTACGGATTCTTCTTCAGTAGCCTTTTCCAGTGATGCTTTGTATTCAGCTAATTCGCTCTGATAGGCAGTGAAGATGTCGCTACCACTTGACGGGGCGTTCACTTGCTGATAAGATCCTGTCCCTGATGGAGTAGCGTCCTGAATCGGCGAAGGCGGATTCGACGACGTAGTCTTTGCCTTAGTCCTTGGAGTCATCGGAGGCGACAATTGTCGTGCAGATGATCTTCTCTTTCCAGGTGTGCTGTCCCTATCTTCAATTGCTTGCATTGTCGAAATTTGTCTCCCTCTAGGAGCAACCAGAGGTCGCCTGGGTAGGCTTGTTCTCAGTTCTGAGGCATCGCTTCCACCAGTGTCGATACTCTGTGAAGAATTTGACTGCGTGCCGGCAGCTGGTGCAACGGCATGTCCAGAGAAAGAAAATGCATTATCGCTGCTATCCTGTTCAGTCATCTGTAAGGCCCGCGGCTACCCGCTCGTAGGCTCCGTAGGAGTCCTACGGCTGATAACCTGTGAATCGGAGGTTATCTCCCCGATTATGTACTGATGTTTGGTCTTGAAGTGGTTGTCTTCAGTGATGACGGCACACGAGTTGCGGCTTCAGCATGGCGATACTTTCTTCCGGTGCTGCAGTGGTCTTGAGCCAAAGGGGCAAGTTAACGCACCCCTTGGCGTTGGATCCTTAAGGGCTGAATTATATGGGAGTGTACAGTGGTCCGTAGCCTACACTCTATTCGCAATAAACATGCGTATCTACGTATATCTACGTATATCTACGTAGTATATTATATGTGCGTATATCTACATATATCTACGCATATCTATGCTATGATTATCTATGTGTATCAAGGTATATCTACGTATATCTTTGTATATCTTTGCAAACCCGCGTATATTTATGCTATATAGATATGATTATATGTATGTATTATATAGATCCGTGTGAAACTATGTGAAAGATATATCTACATGACGTAGCATCCAGCCAGATCACGCAGCGCTTAAGATCCCTTGAGGTTCCGGGCCATGTTCGACCAGATGATCAAAAACTTGCAGCACTCCAACAAGGTTTCTGGGGACTCCCCTGTAGCTGGGTCTTATGAGCAGGAAATATCTAATTTCAGCCTCACCTGATGTCACTGGCGCAGCCTAAAACACCTGAAATCAGGGACGGGGACCTCTGTTGCCCACGCCAGGCGTTAGCGAAGGCCTTTGACATCAAGAAGGCACTGGCATGGGATGTTCAAAAAGTCATTTCATTATTATATCACCATTATATCATCATTATATCATCACTATATCATCATGATATAATCATTATATAATCATTATATAATCGTTATATATATATATAATCATTATATAATCATTATATAATCATTATATAATCATTATATCATCATTATATAATCGTCATATAATCTTTTTATAATGATTATATCACCATTATATCATCATTATATCATCATTATATCATCATTATATAATAACTATATAATCATACTATAATCGTTATATAATCATTATTTAATCATTATATAATCATTATATAATCATACTACAATCGTTATATAATCATTATTTAATCATTATATAGTCATTATATAATCATCATATAATCATTATATCATCATTATATAATCATTATTTAATCATTATATAGTCATTATATCATCATTATATCATCATTATATAATCAGTATATAATCATTATATGATATCGATTGGGATCCTGGATTCGCGAGGTGATCCTTAACGAGGAGGAACTCCCTGAGGACCCGGCCAAGTCGGAGGCCGGGGCAGCTGGGAGCTGGTTGAATCCCATAGGAGAAAAACCGCTGGAACGGGGTTAGACGGTTCGACTCGCAGTTGGTTTCATGAAATACCATATGACTGGATATATATATATAATATATAATATATATATTATATTATTTTATATATATATATATATTATATTAATATATATATATTATATTAATATATATATATTATATTAATATATATATATATATTAATGAAATTAATAAACATGCTGGATTTTTTTGGGGTTTGATACCAGAAAAATGGTGTCAAACAACTAATGTTTACTAATGTTTGTGATGACTGTCCTGAAAGAAATGGTTGTCATCGCCGAAAGTCTATTGATCCAGCAACCCCGATCTGCCTGGGTCTATGTGAATTTACTGGAGGCTATCACCAACAAAAGTTGAGATAAAACCCACAACAGGTAGAGTAGTTGGTTGATTTTCTGATAAAATTAATGAGAGGTGCCATGGTGAAAACTTGGGCGTTACTTGCCCACCAATAGGGATTTATATATCCATTATTTATACAATATAAATATATGAAAAGATGGATTCCCATCCTGAGATGGATGACCATACCACATTCATTTTATGTGACTTGACCATGGCCCATACGACATATGATAGGGACCCTTCAATCTAGTCAGCGTCCATCCGACTTCTCACGATTTTTAAGGCCTTTACTTGAGACCTTTGAACTTTGAACAGTTTCTGTTGAAGAGGGAATGATCCATCTTTCATATTTGGTATCTCTTTTGTCAAGGATTTACATTGGAATTTTTTCAAGAACATCCAAGAAGCGGAAGGACTAGGCAGTCCTAACAGGACTCTCCACATCCGCACAACACAAGGCGCAGAACATCATGCGCTTCGGGCGGCATCAGATCCTTCCGTCCTTTTGGAACTTGTTGGCACGGGATCCTGGTGGATCAAAGGGATCACAGTGATTTCCGAACCAAGTCCATGTGGCTACACACATAATAAATATATACATACATACATACATCCATGCATGCATGCATGCATACATACATACATATATATATATATACATATATATGTATAATTATATATATATATAGCCATAGTAGGGGTTTCCCATGTTATTTTTTTTTAAATATCCGATGTTTGTATCTACTAAGAATCCCAGCACCCCAAGTAGGTGCCCATGACCTACTGAGATCCAGCTGACCAAACAGCAGCGCCGCTTTTCCGTGGTCTTCCGGTCCTTTCATGAAGAACAGCTGACCCAGGCGGGAAAGAAGCTGAAGCAAAATCCTGGTGGAATGATGGTGGATTGAAAAACCCTTCGGGGGGCAAATCACTAGAGGAATGCAGTTATTCGATTTCGACTGGGCGACCATCCCAGTATCTGGGAGACGACGGGAGTAGACCCACTGTGGAGAGCCCCTTCCTGAACCCTGCCATGGAGGTTCAAAAGGAGCTCCAGCAAGGGTCTGAGAAGGGAAGGGGAGGGTTTGGAGAGACTTGCAGAGATGTCCAAATTCTGGGGAGGGATTTATGTTAGCAGGATTTAGCCAGCACAGCTGTGGAGCTTGACTTCCATTTCTCCCATTTTGTTGGGGTTATTTCATCTCTTGAAATGGTGGTGAACTAGTGCAGATGCCTGGCTTGCTTGGACTCCCCTGTGTAGGAAAGACCAATGGCCATCCACGATCCAGTGGTGTGTCAAGCATGATCCGACAGCAGTTCATAGATAGTTCCTTCTATACACATTTTTAAAGTACTTGTTTATCCGGTTGTGTATCTCATATTAAAGCATGTAGTTTAAAACCTGATAAAACCTCACTTACACCGTTACACCCACTAAATCACTTATACCCATCAATCAAACAAGCATCTGGCGGATCGAAATTGGGTACCCCAATAATTCTTGGATGGTTAATACTAAAGATAGACTTAAATCATTTAAATCTGCGGTCTCCGGTCCCCCACGTTTGAAAAAAATCACCCAATAGAAAGTCGAGGCTCTTCACCCAGTGTCAGCATCCGGCCTATAGCGGCCAAAACAAGACCCACAAGCCGCGGCCTGAGATCTGGCTTTTCGAACAAAAGTCTGCATAGAACAATATAGACCATATGTGCATGTATATACAGATATATATATATATACATATACATATATATCTACATATATATACATATATATATATATATACATATCATATATAAATATATATATATATATTACATATATAGGATATGTATGTATATATATATATACATATATATATATACATATATATATATATGATGTATATATATATACATATGTATATATATGCATAGGTATATATACATATATATATATACATATGCATATATATATATGTATACATATATATTACTATACGCATGTATGTATAAGTATGTATAATATAACATATAGATTCATATTACACGGTATACATCGGGAATGCGTTTCTCAGTGGGCTCCACCGCCCAAAATCGGTGAGGCCTCCTTTGATGGATGGTAACAAGGCCTGGCGTGGGAAAGTACGGGCAATCTGGGGAAAACCTGGTGAAAACCTGGGGAAAACCTGGTGAAGATTATTATTGGCCGATCTTGGGATATTTTGGGGGCATAGTTTTTTTTCCCCTTTCTCCGCACTGGTTGTTGGTGAAAAGAAGGGAGTTAACCCGCCATTGTTCACAGCCATTATGAGTAGATGATGCATAGTCTCCTGATTTGAGGACATCATTGCCAAAAAGCTTGTGGTGTCCATTTTGCGATGGGGCATCCAATTGTTCAATAGGAGAATTAGGAGAATAATACAAAGGCTGGTGGTTTCCAATAATTCTTACTATCCGTTCTACCTGAAATGATGATGATCCCATTTATTTTTCTGTTTTCGGATGGATGGTTTAAAACCCAACCAGTTCTTAGTTCGGCCCACTTTTTTTAACAAATCCCAATCTTCGAACATTTTCCCTGGTTAAATCACCAGAAGTCACCATGTTTGTTGCAGAAATCACCATGTTTGCTGGTTAAATCAGCATTTTTCTTGGTTCAATCACCATCTTCACCAATGGCACAGGGCTCTCGCGACCTGCGCCTAACGGCCGCAGCCATTGGACGTGGCACGGCGAATGGAAGCGATAAACATTGGAGCAAATTTCATGGGGATATCACGGGATTATATGATGATAATTACATATACAGGGATAACCTGGGATATATGTATATATACAATATGTATATATATGCATATATGTATATACATATATGTATATATATATATATACAAATAATCAAATTAATATGATATTGGGTGTGTCGGAAAAGAGGGTAATTGCACCCCCTACATGGCCATGATATAACTGGACCATGGGAAAAATGCCAACCCAGGGTAATGGGAGGTACCCAATTTTCAGACGAAAACAAGGTACAATGAACAAAAATCCATGAACATTTGGGATGTTAACTACTCAAAATGGGATTTTAACCATGAAACATTGGATTTCAACAATGAAGCAACAACATTTTCAAGGGTGAGTAATGGGGATTTTCAACCATGTGATATATAACCAACTCTACTCAGAAGCTGGATTCGATTGACCCGGATCGGGGACGGTCATATCATGTGATACCTTCATCAAAATCGAGATTAAGCATGCCAAGATAAGGATTCCTGATCATGATATACATGGCACATATGGCACATATGGGTATAGCGATGCCGGGTAAATTCTGATGACTTCGACCTGCGAAGTCGATGAGGATTGGGGTTACTAGTTGAGCCCAACATGACCTAACTTTTCAGTTTGGTGGTGTATTAAAATATCCAGATCATTTCGGGATTTGGAAGTTGCTATCCTTTAAGATTGTTTCAAATAACTGATTGTTGCAGATTCATAGCCATTACAACAGGAGCAGCCAGGATAAGGATCATTCGGAAACACAGATCTCAGATCACAACCTTTTAGGGTCTGACTGTCGGACCTGGGCAGGAGGCAGGGGACAGGAGTCCCCCTAAACCCTACACCTGTCCCCTGCCTCCTGGTTCCCAAGTCAGTAAAAAAGGTTGTGATCTGAGATCTGTGTTTCGAAATGATCCTTATCCTGTCTGTTCCTGTGGTGTCAAAATGATCCTTGTCAGGTGTTGTAAAATGATCCGGGTACTGGTACCATCCATAACAGGTTGGGGGATTCAATCGACAATAGTGGGTATGCAAGCAAGTCAGGTTTTTGAATTGAGCCATTAATGGTCACAATAGGGGTTTCTACTACCTGATTCATTGGGGTATAATGTTTCTCCCTAATCGTGGGGATATCCATATCCACGAAGCAGTTTGGCATGGGAAAGGGCGAATCCAGCATGGGCTATGCCGAGGCATGGATCGGATGGGCGGGTCCCTTCATTTTCGTGACAGACCACAGGAGTAGCTCGGCCGATGATGATTTACATCATCGCTGGTGTGGCGAAGTCAGGAATCAGCCATAATAAAAGGGTGAACATATGGAATCATGGGGTGATTCACAAAGCTATTGGTAGGATAATAGCGATTCTTAATGATGCCTTAACATAATATGCGTATTATACATAACCAAGGTGAGAAAACGCGCCTACGCCAGGGCCTATGCAACCTGTGCTGCACGGTAGCCTACACCCTGCGCACAATATGTCTTTGGAGTTCCCTCCGATCTTTTCTCTCGCATCCAGGAAAAACACTACGCACGTGGATTTGTCTGAAAACATGGTATCCTGGATTATCCTATTCCATCATATTCCATCTGATGGTTTTAGAAGAACATGTTCGCAATGATAGTTTTCATACTTTTTCGTTATTCCCCTACCACGTCGGCTTTGCCGAAGCACCCTTTTACAACAGTTGAATCCATGAATTTTCCATCGGTTGGATATCAATCCTTGTGAGGGGAGCGATTTGTAGGTTTGCACTCTGGATCTGCTAAAGAAATTAGGCTCTGCGGGCCCTGGCAGTAGGTTATATGATGTTATATGCTACTGGTCAGCCAGAGACAAGGATGAGAACCACTACTTATTCGATGTTTTTTTAAGCATAAACCTTTCAAACCTTGGGTTCATTGTTGGGTTCATGACAGTAGTGGCCATTTTACCATGGCTATTTTGTTGTAAACAAACATGGCTTGCTAGAAGTGTCCATGTGGAAAAGGCGAATCGTCCATGGAAGGAACAGGGGATTTTCTGCGAAGGGAGGTGGCCGCGGGGTAGCCACAGTCTACAATGGTTCTTCTATTTGGTTGATGAAACAGGAAGTGCAGTATCGCCATCTATCGCCAATAGTTGGAATCTCCGCCAAGCAGAAACTCTGATCCAGCATAACTAGCTGAAAACCTGCTCACTTTGTGATTGAGAAGTCCCTGATTTGGGGTTGATTCATCATGGTTGCTGGGCACCTGAAACCCCGCATGGTTGTTGAATCATGGGAATCAAGCTTCCCTTTATCAAAAATGGTCGCACATAGGACACCACTGCCATCGATTTGTTGGAAATCGGTTTTTGGGAACTCACACTTAGTGCAATGATCACGCGAAGTTATCCACTTTGCTATCTAGGACCTTGCTGAGCCAGGAATCGTGAAATCGCACGTGGGAGCAGGGACTTGCTGCACCGGGCACCCCTCCATCAGTTTTCTTTTGATATGGGCAAGACTAAGACCAGGGCTACGAGCTCATGATATTCAATTATAGTAGTAATAATTAATAATAATAATAAATAATAATAACAATGTGGTTAAAACACTAATAAACCACCCATTTGACATTTGAGAATGGTTCATACCACCCATTTATGGTGATTTTGGGGATGGTTTATCGCACTACTAACCACTGGAAATACGCATTGAAACATTGAAGCCACTTCACCATTTGTTCAACATGTCTCCTCCTAAAAAAAGGATGCCTCCATGACCAGTTTTTCAGGCAAACTCCCGAAGAAGAGGTGAGGAGGGGGTGTGGTTTCCGGCGTCCACAAATTCAAGGGCTCTGGAGCTCAAACATTTCAACCACGTATGGGACATCTTCTCCACAATCAGAACGTTTGATTTTAAAGGATTTCCGCGTTTAAAGGCTGGAATCCGCTATTTCATTGGCTGCTTGAATGAGCAGCTGGAAGTTTCTTCCAAACTTTTGGGCATGTCAATCCGAGCCAGATGGGAGCTGTTGTTTAGCCATTAGCGGCCTAGGGCTGACTATTCCCTGGTCTCCTAGTATGTTCGTTGTTTCTATCACTATTGTGGTTTCTTCATTGGGTCATTCTTGCTTGAGTTCTGTTGGGTTTGTGATGAAATGGCGCGATTTGTTGGCCAAACATTGCTTTTACTAGTCTAAACGTGGTTTCATCCCCATTGAACTGTAGGTATCGTACTGTTTCATCACAGAAAATCATCAATCCTGTGAGTTTTATCGTGGTTTTACCAACAAAAAACATAAACTATGCGAGTTTCATCGCCATTTCCCTCTCTCTTCCCGTGGCTCCCGTGGCGACTCTTTGGCACCTCAAAAAAACCAGGCGGTCGAGTCGGCGGAGAATCCGGCCGACTCGGTGTTCAGGCTGGGCCGGAGAATCCGGGTGGACCGATATGTGGCACTTTTTGGTTTATCCTCTGGTAAACTAACATAGCGAAAATGGCCATAGAAATAGTGGATTTTCCCATTAAAAATGGTGATTTTCCATAGTTATGTTAAATTACCAGAGGGTATCCTCCATGATTTATAGCTGATTTTCCCAGCAAGAAACCTCCATTCTATATTGATGACACCGGAGGTTATGTATTTTGAATCTTTCCCCAGCTAACTATAGATATCCCATAAACCCAGCCTAGCCAAATTATGTTCACCAAGTTACCCAACTATCAGGCATCACCTTGTAGAATTTTTGTGGGTGACCATTTTGACCCATACACCGTATACCCAAAAGGCAAAGTCAAAATGGTGAGCAACATCCTTTTCATGGACGGAAAACCACAAACGTCATGCAACATCTCAAGGAAAATCATTGAGCATCCATTGGTCCATGTCAATTATCGACGGGTAGATCACCCACAAACGCCGCGCAAGGGACTTTTTCCCTCCCACATTTGCGAGCCCAGACTTAGGCCGACGGAATATGCCTTCCCTCCCTATCATCAAGCCTATGCTGGCCTCGTGTGCTGCCTGCGTGTTGCAAGCCATGGCTTTTGGAGCCGTTGGTGGTTGGTTCTTGGATCAATGGGGTATTTACCTGTATAATCTAAGGGTCTGTATTGTATATCATCAGTTTCTACATTGAATTGGCGATCTTGGGGTACATATACAATTATATATATATATTATATTATATATATATCTCATTACATATACCCCTTGTGCTGAACAAATCCAATACGCAAATTTCCGAGCAAATGTGGCCTGGATGGGTTGAGATTCCAATGGAATCATGATGAATTCTCCAATATCTCAGTGCCAGGGACCAGGTGTTGGAAACGGCAAATACTGCTGCCATCGTTGACGACCTGGCGTTTCTTGGGTGGCTGAAAAAACCTGTCGCATAACTTGTGAAGCCAGTGGTGACCGGCGGATTCCGAGATACGTTTTCTTGGATTTAAACAAGAGTGATGGATTTTGTGTCATTGATGTTATATAATGTTATATAATGTTATATAATGTTATATAATGTTACATAATGTTATATAATGTTATATAATGTTATATAATGTTACATATATATATATATATAAGCAAAATATAGATGGACCCGCCCAGATGGACCCGCCCAGAAAGTGTGGTATACCCCCCCATTTTTTTGATGTTTTATGGGCATATCGAATTGGATGAGGTTTTAAACCCAAGTTTCTGGTGAAAGAAACTGTGGTCAAAACCTTTCCGGACTGTCTGGGGGTTTGAACATCCACTTACCCAAGGTGCTGCTCTTGAGGAGGGTTGAATCCATTCAGGTTTTATGGCATTTTTTCTGAGTGCCCAATTCAGAGCCATACCAAAAAAATCCATTGGTAGATGCACAGAACGTTCATTTTTCTAGCATTTGTTTGCCGTTTTCATGATTTTCATGAGCAAAACCCACACTGCTACCCGATTTCAGCCACTGAAAGTCCTGTCCAACAAAACAAGTCATCAGGAAGATACCTTGCTTCTGGTGGAGATAGGAAAACACTAGGGGTACCGTTCTTTGTACCCTAACTGAGACCGTATCAACCACTTAGCCATGGTGGGAGAGGCCCATATACCAACAGTTCTCCCCTATCCCCAATCACTAACTCAGGTCATCCAAGTGCGAATAGGCTACCTGATTTCCTTTCTTTGCACCACTCTATACAAGATGGAACTTGGAAAATAAGGGGTCCCAAAGATGATGTGAATTTCTGAATATGGCCATTTTTTTTTCGCATTAAGAAGGGTGGGTTCATCGCTATTTATGGATGATTTTCTCATGGAAAGCCCTGGCTCCCAGGTTTTGGGATGCTCATGACCGAGACAGCAGTGCGGGCAAGCTGCTTTTGATTGATCGTGCTGAGACAAAGGTGGGGCTGGTGGATGGTAGGTGATATAGTATTTTATAGTGATGTAGTATACAACCATGGTATGTGGTAGGTGAAAAAATATAATGATATAGCATTTGATAGTTTAAAAAAGGCTCCTCGAACGTCTGGGAAGATCTATTTCGGGAAATGGTGGTTTTCCAAATGATAAGACGCCGCGAAGAACTCATCGATAGGATGCAGGTAAGTCATTAAAGATGAATGTACAGCATCTCTCAGGTTTGGGGAGTCTCTAGTCACATCGTAAGAGAATGAGGTTGCCCAACTGATCAATGGTAGATGGCGCCAAACCAGCCTCTCCAGTTCTCCCATTTCAGGACAGCATCAATAAAGCCAGGAAGTACGGCCCCCCAAATCTGCGGGATTTTCTCAAAAATCTGCCTTTTCTTGAGCCGAAGGTCCAACACATCTTCTTTGATGGCAACATTGAGAAGGAGATCAAAAGTGTCACAGTACTGCCATCAGTGAATCACATTTGACACTTTTTCCTGAAGGGCTTCTTTTACCTGAACAATCTGCAGGATGATGCCAATTGCGTCGATGCCAAGCTGTCCGATTAATTATTGCTTTTTTCGTCAACTTGGCACCGAAGTTTCCGCAGTTTATTTCCAGTGTCGCTAAATATGAAACACCATGAAACGACCATTTTTTTTTCATCATTTTTCAGCATCCTCCAGCATTGTTTTTCAGTTCCTCATGTCTTTTTCAGAAGTTGCCAGGTGAGAGATGCCGTGAAGGGAGAAGCTCTTCCCCTTCAGGTCCGGCATAGACATGGAGATTCTGAAAAGAGTTTTTGATAAAAAGGTGGCTTGCAAAAGGTGTCTGCAAACAGCATTCTATTTTTCGGGTGCAAAGAAAAATGCTTTGGATAGATTTTTTTGTAATGGCATGTACTGTAGTGGATTTCAACGGAGATTAATGAACGCCAGCGGAGCAGATTAGAGCAACAGTGGAGTTCATAGAGATACAGGGATTCAACCAACAGCATGGCTTTACTTGCACTGAAAGGCTTGGTGAACCTCCCACTTTTGGAACATCTACGACCCATTGGGCTCAGCAGTTTCATTTCCGGCCAGTTACAACCAACAAACACAGCGTAGCTAAGAAACTTGGGTGTGGAGATAGGACCAACAAACTCGGGATGAAACCAGACGATGCAGTCGGGACCTCCCTGCAGGGTGTTTTGATACAACGCACGCCGGCATTTGCTCAACGGGTCAACTCTGTGGATTCTTGGTGGTTACCGAGTGGTTACCCTGGAAACGTGTTGGTTGTTTTGGACTTGATTCTGGCTTCACCACCCATGTGTTCTCCATGCTGTGTTGGGCCTCAGCTTTGGTAAAGTCTCCATTTTTTTGGTTGGTATCCTCATTTTGGTGGATGAAATCACCCGTTTGATCCCTTTTGGTTGCTTAGAGTCACCATTTTAGATGGTAGACACAAGGATTTTAGTTGGGGATCCCAAAAAAATCGATTGTGCTAGTTATAGTTGAATCCCCATTTGGATTTCTGAAAATTGGAGTAGAAAACATGGTTTCTATTCATCTGGGATGATTTTGGGATTCCCAATTTAAGCATCTCAAATGTTCCAACAGATCCCTAGAGCATGCCCCTTGCGGCTTGAAGATGGTTCTCGAAATGAAAGGATATTCCCAAATCATTTGGTGTTTTTTTTTTTTTTTCGGGACCTCCAGGGTATGCTCCCATACAGTCCCAGCAAACATGCCAGAGAATCCCATTCAAAAGAGATGCATAGCAGCCACAGGACTCCTCAAACATCTACCTTCACCGGGTGGACTTCTTCCAGGCGAAAAAAAAAACGGGTTTTTCATAGGAAGATTTTTTGGGGATGCCATCGGATATGGGATGATATCGGAATTGGATTGGGGGAAGCATCCCAAAATGTTTTTTTTTTTTTCAGTTTAGAGATTGCGATGCAGCAATTGTTCAGACAAATGATATGATATGATCTGATATGATCTGATATATGATCTGATCTGATATGATATGTCATATGACACATGATATTGGCATTGACATGTATGCTATGGAACATTGCCCGTTTAGTTCGATGATATATGGTGTATATATGATATTGATGATGATGATGATGATGAAGAAGAAGAAGGTGATGATGATGATGAAGAAGAAGGTGATGATGATGATGAATTTGATTTACACCCTTTTTCCTATCAAACATAGACAGGGGCTATTTGCCAAACAATGAGATGCGGTTCGCGATTTTACACCACTGCTGAACATAGACCCTGCCAGATAGGGGTTGGAAGATTGGTTTCCATCAAAAATGGGGGATTTTCAAGGTCTATGTTAATTTACCAGGAGGTACCATCTACCATTCGAACCATCATAACATTTAATGACATTTCACAACTCTTCAATCTTGGGGTCATCCAAGAGACTATTACATCTTCCGTCTCTCATCAGAATTTGCAGCAATAATGTCCTTTTGGTAAAAATAGAGGGGCCGGTTTGGTATACCATCTATCATCATTTACTTGTTGTTAAAGGGGTAAACAAACCCCTCTGTTAATCAACCAACCAATGGGAAAAGGACATCTATGATTTGCAGAGCATGGTTTGTTTCAACCCCCCTGAATTCATAACTCGGGGCAGATCGGCTTGGACCATCGCCATCTCAATCCCTGGCAGGCGATTACGGACGTGGACTACTATGTCAAGGCCGTTGAGGCTTGCGAGTTGCAGATGTCCAAGCGGATTGTCCAGGCGCGAGTTGTGGATGGGGGAAGATCGACCCTTTTTAAGGGACCTTACATTTTCGGTGAATGATTAGTGTAGCTGAGGCTGAAACACACATAATTGGTTGGTGCTTTTTTTGGGGGTTGGCGAGATTATTCTTTCTTGGATAAACATGGATAAACTATACTAGTTCATTCATTGGGGTACAATATAGATCCACAAAATTGATTAGAGTTTGAGTATTACACCATCCATTGTTTGGGGTTTGTCATTTTGACCCATACGAGATGTGACCCTCAGCCCAAAATGATGCCAAAATCGTCCCAGTAGTGATTTATGGACGTTCAATTGTTTCCAGCAATGATTTAAGGAAGTTTAAAGCCACAACAAAAGTTTTTCCTTTTTTAAATTACTATATATTTATTATTACTTCTTTTCTTTCAAGTTTTTTCCCCACCTGCCAGGTGAGGGTTGTTAGATTTTATGTCAGTTGCCTCCTCCTGCCTCCTCCTCCTCCTCCTCTCCTCCTCGTCCTCCTCGTCCTCCTTGTCATCCTTGTCGTCCTTGTCGTCCTCGTCGTCCTCGTCGTCCTCGTCGTCCTCGTCGTCCTCGTCCAACTGCGACCCGCGATCCACAGTGTTCCCTGCCGGACCTCAACCACGACCATCCACGCCCAGTGTTCCCTGCCGGACCTCAACCACGACCAGCCACGCCCAGTGTTCCCTGCCGGACCTCAACCACGACCAGCCACGCCCAGTGTTCCCTGCCGGACCTCATCTGCGAGTATCCATGCCAAGTGTTCCCTGCCGGACCTCATGTAGGAAGATATGGGACAAAGAATGTGCAGAAGAAAGCTAGAAAGAATGTCATAAAGAATGTCAGAAGACATGCCAGAAGATATGCCAGATAGAATGCCAAATAGAATGCCAGATAGAATGCCAGATAGAATGCCAGAAGATATGTCAGAATATATGCCAGAAGATATGCCAGATAGAATGCCAGATAATATACCAGAAGATATGCCAGATACAATGCCAGATAGAATGCCAGAAGATTTGCCAGATAGAATGCCAGAAAATATGCCAGAAGATATGCCAGATAGATATGCCAGAAGATATGCCAGAAGATATGCCAGAAGATATGCCAGAAGATATGGCAGAATATATGCCAGAAGATATGTCAGATAGAATGCCAGAAGATATGTCAGAATATATGCCAGAAGATATGCCAGATAGAATGCCAGATAGAATGCCAGAAGATATGTCAGATAGAATGCCAGAAGATATGCCAGATAGAATGCCAGAAGATTTGCCAGATAGAATGCCAGAAGATATGCCAGAAGATATGCCAGATCATATGCCAGAAGATATGCCAGATAGAATGCCAAATAGAATGTCAGAAGATATGTCAGATAGAATGCCAGAAGATTTGCCAGTAAGAAAATGTATAAATGTCATGGTGGGGATCACACGAAGTAAAGTAATTCTTATATGTTCGACATTCGAGATAAGTTCAATGGCAAGACAGAGCGGTTGTCCCTTCAAGGATACGGATCAGGCAGGGCCACGTTCACCAGCCGACTCACCCCTCGTAGGACAGACATTCTGAAGGCCTTGCCCGCGCACTCTCGGATCAGGAGCTGATGACGGGAGTCATCTTACTGGATTAAGCCACACCCCGATTTTCGTCCAGGGCGGCTCGGCGACCCACCATTTTCCGGAAATTGCCATGTTATTTGTTGCATGAATCCACTTTTAAGTTTTGAAAAATCCTGAATCCGTACCAAAGATCGCCATCTCCTGTTGGTATCCCCATGTATCCCCATATGTTACCATATTCAATGTTTGTTGGTGTATCCCTATTTAAAAGCCTAGCAATGAGTATATATTCCTCTCTTTTGATCGAACCACCATCCGCCATCCAGTTCCCAAGTCAGAAGAATTTACAGCGACCTCACCTGTCGACCGATGCAGTAGATTAGACAAGCTGGAAATCTGAAAATGGCCCATTTACAGATGATTTTCGCATCAAAACCTCCATTTACAGATGGATTTTCCAGTTCGCTATGTGAAATAACCAGATGGTACAGTAGTTTTCCCATAAAAAATGGTGATTTTCCATAGTGATGTTAGTTTACCAGAGGGTATGTCTTCTATTTTCAACTGGGATGGTGATCCCAATTGATCAACCGGCGATTGCAGGAGAGAAAGCAGGCCTCTGAGGCAGCCGCCTCCATGACTCCCAAGGAGAGATTCGCACAGTTTTTCAGAAAATTTCTGGGAACGTTGGGGTGAAAATGGGTACCCTCTGGTAAATTCACAGTTTGCTATTGAACATGGCCATAGAAATAGTGGATTTACCCATTGAAAATGGTGGATCTTTCCATAGTTTTTTGTAAACGTTAACCAGAGGCTACTGTTAAACAGAACATGGGGATATCATTATCAAATAATATCAAATAGGCGGCTGGGCAATCTACAATCCAGATATACGTTTTTTATCGTTTTTTGTTCCCTTGATCCTCACGGTAAACAGATTGAAATGGACGACGTTGATGGGATTCTGGAAGATTTAAGCAATAAGTATCATACAATGGAAGGACTAAGTGGGAACATTGGTATATCAACGCTATATATATATATTTATGTATATATAATGTTATATTTGTTATCGTTAATTTATGGAGATATGACGTGAGTACCCTAGGGTAAACCAACAGTTCGATGTGAAAAACCAAGGGTAAACTCCACATCGAAGTGTTTACGGGAGGTGGGTTTTCCGCAACTGTAAGCGTTGAGTCGGGACAGTAAACCGACTCCAGTTAAAAAAATCCCATGATTCATTCCGAATTCCCAACAACCTATAAAACCACCATGAAATTACAATCTGATTGGTGGTTTGGACCATTTTTTATTCAGTTGTGAATAATCCCAACTGACGAAGTCCATCATTTTTCAGAGGGGTTGGTTGAAACCACCAACCAGATATTATTATTAACCATCATTAACCATATAATAACCATATATTAACCACCATTAACCAGCCATTAAACCACCATTGAAATTTCTAGCTCTGGATCCAGGAGTGGCTCTATCGAAACATCATCCCAGCCCTGTTGCCGGCCTTAGAGGCCGCAGCGGCACGGACCAGAAATTTTTCTGACATGGGGATATTTATTGGGCTAATGTTATGGTGTACCCTCTGGTAAACTAACATAGCTATTGAACATGGCCATTTATAGTGGATTTTCCCATTAAAAATGGTGATTTTCCATAGCAATGTTAAATTACCAGAGGATATATATATATAATATTATATATATGTATAATATACATCCCGGCGGAAGGGAAACCGCGCGAGCGTTTTGATTGGTTGCTTCCAGGAGAGTCACAATCACCTGTAATTTACAATATAAAATGCTCTTCCGATCAGTTTGGATAACTGAATTTGGGTTAAAAAAAGTGGATGCAAAATCTATTGATTTTTAACAAATCCAGGTAAACATCATGTGCATCAGACGTGGATGCGCAGATTTTTGTCACACTCTTCTCTAGCAACATGTCACGTAGTAAACGATCCCAGAGATCTTAGCAACATCGCAATATATCCTGTACAAAATTTGAGGAACGTTAACATTCCCCCCCACCTCACCCCACCCCAACCCCAACCCACACTAACATGGCAATATATCCTGTACGAAGTACGAGGAACGTTAACATGCCCCCCCACCCCACCCCACCCCGACCCCAACCCACACTAGAGATCTCAGCAGCGTAGCAACACGTAACGTAGTAAAAGATCCCAGAGATCTTAGCAACATGGCAATATATCATGTACGAAGTACAAGGAACGTTAACATGCCCCCCCACCCCACCCCACCCCAACCCCAAGACAAAGAGCAATACTCAAAAAAGAAGCAAAACGCACGTACGGTTTTCCTGCCGTAGGCATATACATGATATATCTTCACCTGATGAATGAGAATTGAAATGATCGAAGCCAACTAAGTGTCGCAATTTCCATGGGGAAATCGATAGGAATTGGGTCTCTACCATTTTTGGATAAAACATGCACACACACACATGTATATATATATATATATATCCCAGTGTCTTTGGAATTCCAAGTCATTTTGTCCGGGTGCATTATCACCATAAGCGAGAATCCTCGTTTGAAACATACGTTTTCCCGCTCAAAGATATGACGCATCTTAGTCGATTTGAACGCATTCTGCCTCAGCAGAAATCAGCATCCGCATACAACCTACCTGCCATGGTCAAAAGTTGGTATACAAGTCACCATTGCAAGGATTCCCATTATCAACATGGCATGGATGACCATAGGCCAAATACAATGTTTTGACAACGGCATGGCGAAGTGAGTCTGGTGTCGCTCTGCCCCTTTTCTTTGGGTGGGGAGATGGAAGCTTCCCAAGTCGATTTGAATGTCCTCGTGGAGTTGATTCGCACCCCAAGAATGACCAGTGTCGTGGGTTCAACACGATCCAATGTTGGGACTGTTCGATTCTTCCACCACTCTGTTCGATTCAACCATCCTGTTGGTAGCTCTATGCAACTACCGGTATTGCTCAGAAGTTGGGGTGAACTCAACAGAATGTTGCCGATCCGAAAACATTCCTTTTTGGCGTCTCATTGTGCAGGAAGGGCTCCCCCAGTAGCCTTTGACAGTATATAACTCAATCTATCAACATTATATAGTTGGATATATTCACAGAGTCAACTGACTATGTCAACCACCAACAAACAAGATGAAGGTCAGTTGCAGTTTACAACTATTACTATAGTTAAATCCACCTTTACATAGTAACGAATAAGCATATTACTGTAATTAAGATAAACTTTTGCTCTAGTTAAATCAACTATATCAATTATATACCATTATATATACATATATATACCTGGGATACCTCCAGATATTCAAACTATTACCAATCATCTAACTATAAACAACGATATGCTTGGAAGATGTCAGAGAGATCCTTCAACGCTGCTGTTCGCTTCGTCGAAACTCGAGGCATGTCAGCGAGATCGACCCGAAGATCCCATCGAGTGGAGATCCCGGGGAGATCAGGATATCATGGGAGAAATTTCTTGGGATATATGGATATACCCTCTGGTTATAGAATATATGGTATAATAAGGTTATATATATATAGTATATATGGTATAATAGAATGATATATATGGATATACCCTATGGTTATGACTAACATAGCCATGGTATAGATGGCCCATAGAAATAGATGGTTTACCTATTAATAGCATGGTGATTTTCCATAGTTATGTAAACGTTTACCAGAGGGTAAATCATATGGTCAACTGATAGCTTTCCCCTGTGGAGCTTGATCTGAGATACTTTTGGTTTTAACCACATCGATGTTGGTAAACTAACAGTTCGATGTGGTTTCAAGCCACGGTTTCCCCGTTCGGAACACGAAGACCACATTCATGCTGGGTTTTCCACAACTGTTAGCTTACAGGAGGATAAAAAATATGATAAACCCAATGGGTAAAGAATCTGGAAATATTGCGGTAAACTTCAATGCCATAAACTATCCCCAATAGAGCTTGATTATACTTTAAGAAATCGGGTATACCTCTAGAAATGGGATTATGTAACATTTTATAATGACCCCCTGTCATGGTTGGTTTGCAAAAGAATGGTTTATGGCATTGGGTTTTAGCCCATTAATCAATGTAGCCTCTGGTAATCTAAGGGGTTGCCATGGAAAACCACCATTTTTAGTAGGTTAATAATCTGCAAACGGGCCATTTTCATCAATTTTCCAAAGCTGATTCTGATTATGATCGACTACAAGAGGGTACTGGGATGTAACATGCTGTAACATGTGATATACATACATCAGATGATCCATCCTACCTACGTACTTGCACCTGGGATATCCATTCTCCATGTGACTTTCAACTGGCACAGGTTTATTGCCTTCTACATGCTTCGACATTCGAAACAGCCTGGGCTCTCAGATGCTACGCCATGCGAGAACATGGTTTGTACAGTTTTTTTTTCAATGGGGATATCATTATGGGATAATATGGAATAACATGGGTGGGATAAATGCGGTAGATGACAAACTTGATCTGATCATGCCGGATACTTCACGGTGCGACGTCACTGAATTGATCCTTAGGATTAGCAGCGCCCAAAGTTGGTGAAATTTGGCTTGACTTTGTAATTATATACTGCAGTTTGTACATGTTCATTACAACTTCCAAACTTCCCACAATTGGGTCCTTATCATAATCCAGAACCTTGTCAATTACGCCATTGTGCGCTTTCACGGAAGATTGTCTACCCGCAGGCCCGCAGGACGCAAGTATGCCTTTTTTTGTTTCAAAGAAGTCACTGGAATCATGATCATGATAATCATACACATGGATTTCTTACCCCAGAGCGCATTCCAAGGTACTCGAAGACTCTGAAAGCATGAGAATTCAAAGGCTGATCTGTCGAAACTGAAGAACCTTAGAACCCAAGTCCCAGATATTGCCATTGCAATAGCTTTGTTCTTGTTGAAGCACCTGCTTGCGACATTTGCAACAACAAAGCTGGGTCAAATGATCCAGCTCATATTTTCTGCTATGCAAACCCATATGTTTCAACATTTGGTCAGGTTGAAGCAAACATTTGACTCTTTTTTACTGGCGAAACAATTTTTCAGTGAACGTTCATATTTCTCCATCCTTTTTGCTTTCCAAGGTTTTACTTTTTTCACCTCGAACAGTTTCGACAGAACTCGCCTTTTTGTTCGGACTGGTGCGGCCAGGTAATGCGACTGGGCTGATGGCCTTCTCAACGTGTATACTTGCTCTATCTATCATTATCTATCTATCTTTTTTTATATCTACCTATCTTTCCATCTATATCTATATCTATGTCTATATCTATATCTGAGATCTATATCTAAATCTATGAATATATATATAAATACATATATATACATAATTTTGTACATATATATTTATCTATTATATGTATGTGTATATATATGTATATATATGTGTATATATGTATATATATATATATCTATCGCTATATATAAATATATGAATATCTATCTTTGAATCTTTATCTATCTATGAATATCTAACTGTGAATATCTATCTATGAATATCTATCTATGAATATCTGCGAATAGAGTGTAAGCTACGGACCAAAGTACAATATCACATAATTCATCACTCTAAGACCCACAGCCAAAGGGTATGACAATCGCCCTTTTGGCTCAAGACCCACTGCAGCAACAGAGAAAAGGAACGCCATGCGGAAGCTGTCGTCTTTGTGAAGTCATTACTGGAACAACGAACATCAACATCAATTACTGGAATATAATCGGGAAGGCAATCCCCGATTCGCAGGTTATCAGCCGTAGGACTCCTACGGAGCCTACGAGCGGGTAGCCGCGGGCCTTACAGATGACTGAACAGGATAGCAGCGATAATGCATTTTCTTTCTCTGGACATGCCGTTGCACCAGCTGCCGGCACGCAGTCAAATTCTTCACAGAGTATCGACACTGGTGGAAGCGATGCCTCAGAATTGAGAACAAGCCAACCCAGGCGACATCTGGTTGCTCCTAGAGGGAGACAAATTTCGACAATGCAAGCAATTGAAGATAGGGACAGCACCCCTGGAAAGAGAAGATCATCTGCACGACAATTGTCGCCTCCGATGACTCCAAGGACTAAGGCAAAGACTACGTCGTCGAATCCGCCTTCACCGATTCAGGACGCTACTCCATCAGGGACAGGATCTTATCAACAAGTGAACGCCCCGTCAAGTGGTAGCGACATCTTCACTGCCTATCAGAGTGAATTAGCTGAGTACAAAACATCACTGGAAAGGGCCACTGAAGAAGAATCTGTACTTCAGGCAAGATTGAGTGAGACGACAGCATATGCCTATCAACAATTTAATTTCCTAGAAAGCACCACTCATCAAGAGATGATGTCGATGACCGAACAACTCCAGATGCTGAACTTCGAGTTACAGGCTGCACAACAGGAAGATGAAGGTGCGACCTACAGGATCGAAGAGTTGGAAAGGTATCAGACTATGTCGAATGAAGCTGCATCTCATTTGGAATTCAAATATTCACGACTACGTTCGGAATTCGATGAACAAATGGGACAAGCAAACGCAATTATGGTACATGTGGGAACTGACGCGAATGCTCACATCAATCAACTCAGACTGGAACTGGAAAACGCAGAGATGAATGCCAAGCAAGAAGCTCTAGCAGTCGGCTATGCTAATGACCAAACATGTGCTTTGCAGATCGAGATGCTCGAGGTTGCCAATCAGAACCAGACGATGAAGCACACCATGGCCATGAATGTCAGGCGACTGGAAACTGAGTTAGATGCTGCTGACATGAAGAGGGACGAGATCATGAAGGAGTTCCGTAGTAACATAAGATCTGAACATGACCGTTATGCAGAATGTGAACATCACTTAGCTTTGGAAGAATCACAGCTTCGATTACAGGTGATCCACAGTGAGAACTTACAATCTCGACTAGCGATTTCTGAGAACAGGGTTTCTGAAGAATCTCTAGCTGAATCAGGTGGCATGCGGGACATGAGGATAATGGGACTACGTTCTGAACTACACATGAAACAAAGTCTTTTAGATCGAATGCAACAGCAACTGACTGAATCGAAGAATCAGTATCATGAACTTTCCTGTCAACAAGCCAGAAGATCTTCACCGAGCAGATCACCGCATGGAGGACCTCTATACGAGATGTACATGCAAGCCGTGCGTGAACGTGACAGCTTGAAAGAATCCAAGGCCGAAGTTGACAAATTGTACTTGCAGAATAGATCTGAACTCATTGACACTGAGGACCTGCTCAAAGTCTTCCAGCGAAACTTTGATGAAACTGGTAAGAAATATCAAGATGCTCTGAACAAGATCGATCACATGAGCAACAATCCGAATGTGACGAGTACCTTGTTTGACAGTTTGCACAATGAACTCAATGACAGGGATACAGCTATTGCTCGCCTTCATACTGAACTTGAAGCCCAAAAGGACTCTCTTGAGCGTGCTCACAGGGATGCAGGTAAGTCCATCAAGATGTTGAACGACAGAAGACTCGTGATCAAAGGTGCGACTGACTATTCCATTCCTGAAAGCCATTTGACCGAGATGCATCAATTGGCCAATGAGCGTTACGCTGAGGTAGAAGAAATGTCGAGCACCATTGCTGCCCTGAAGTTGGAAAACCAAGCTCATTCTTCTTCATCAATGAATAGACCGACTACATTACATGGGTACCCCAGTAATGCCATGCCTCGGAACGAATGTGAAGAGAAGTGTGCCAAACTGAAAGCAGAGTTGGACGAGATGAAGCAAGAGAGGAACGCTGAAGTTCGAAATCTTCAAGATGAGTTGAAGAAGATGGAAGATCGTAAAGATTACTATAAGAACAATTTCTCTCAAGCTGAAGATCGTGCCAATGATGAAGAGCAGGAATACCGAGCAGAAGCTGAAGCCTTCGAGAAGCTCAGGAACGAGTACAACACAAATGTCAAGGAGTTGGAGAACCTTGAAAGGGATAGATCCAAGTCATCTGTATCTCTAAGAGAAGCCGAAAAGATCAGCCTCCAACCCTGGCCTAAGACCACTGAACTTTCATCCTGGAAGGGAAGTGTCGTTCATGAAGTTTGCGTTGCAAGTGGAGATCGAAACTATGAAGATTGGAAGGCGTGGTTAGCTCCGTGTCTTGCAGATCAACCTGACTTGGAGGCGCTGGCCAAAGCTCCTGATGTGAGATTCCAATCCATTGATGCCAAGCTCTCCAATGCCTTGAGGAAAGTCATTGACAATGCTGGGGACAAGTCCATGCAAGTGAAGTATGACATGTCCATGAAGAACCAATTGTATGGGAGGAGTGGGGACTTCATCAAGGGACGAGAACTATTTGCAATGATATTGATTAGCTTCAAGTCACCTGACCACACTGAAGTTCTCTACAATGCCCATCATTTGTATATGTTCAACTACTATGGAGATGACCAACTTGAGGCCTTCTACAACAAGTGGCTTGACATCGTATACAATATGAAACATGATGATCTGCCTTCCAACAATTCCCTGCGTGACACATTGTTCCGGAAGATTGAACATTCAAAACTTATGGCCTTCGATATCAACCGATACAAAACCTTTGATGAAGGGCATCATGAGAAGACCTATGCTTACCTAACTGGTATGATCAAGGGATACATAGCACGAGGGAAGCAAGAACGACTGTTGAAAGATAGAGAACGTGCAGTGAAACTGTCATTGTCCTCTAACAAGACGACACCTGCCTTAGAAGATGCAGACAAGCCTGCCGCTCCCGTCAAGACCAAGAAGGAGAATGAAGCGGCCGCATCGTCTACAGGTGATCCTCCCAAACGTCCTAAGGCGAAAGCGAAGAGTGAAGCTGCATCGGTACTTCCTACACCTTCTCGAAATCCCATGCCGACAAGAACAACAAGAAAGGCAAAGGTGGGAAGGGAAGATCATCTTCACCCGTTGACAAGAAGAAGATTTTCTGTAACTACTTCTTCAATAAAGGAGGATGCAACAAAGGTGACAAATGTCTTTACAGTCATTCTCAGAAGGTCTATGATGCCAAGATGAAAGGTAAGAAAGGCAGAAGCGGAAGTAGAGATTCATCAAGAGGGAAAGGTAGAGGAAGTTCATCTTCAGCTGGACCCAAAAAGAAGGTATGTTGGAATTGGCAAGAAGGTACCTGCAAGTTCGGAAACAAATGTAAATTCCTACATGCAGATAAATCGCCCTCAGCATCCTCAGAGAGAACCAGCAAGAAGACACCAAAGAAGAAGGCGACTCCCATTACCATTGATTCCTTCTTTGATAGCGACAATGAAGATTCTATGGATTATACCTCACCGAGGATAGCCAGCGCAAAGAAGTCTTCTGATGATCGCAGGATCTCATTTGATCTGGAACCTGAGGTGCACGAGATCGCCATTGAGGACTACCAGGAGGGACTACCCAAACGTATGTATCGTGACCCCAACAAGCAATATGTTTTCTGGAAAGTCGATGATTTGACCGACGATCAGTCCAAGTCCGACAACACCCTCGGTTCAGTCCGAGCACGGGCCAAGGCTATCATCATGGACAGATGTGGACTCCATCGTTTTGTTGATGAAGTTAGAATCATTATTGGCCCCAAGTTCGACATGTTGATCAAACTGGACAATGATCGTGATGACTTGACTTTTATTGAAGAGCTTGTTGAACACGAAGTTGGAAACTCCCTCATGAAGTCCAAGAACATAATGTGCATTTCACTACCAGTGCAAGCCAAAGATCGTAGATTCATCCTGGATTCTGGCAGCGGGCATGATCTGATTTCTGCAAGGAAAGCCGAAAGGATGAACTTGAAGCAGCGAACTTGTGATCCTATCATGTTCCACACAGCCAACGGTTCAACTGCTACTCAGACAGAAG